CAACATTGCTACAGTTTTGATTTATATACCTGAAGGACATGTCACAGACATGCCACCCTTATTTTTAACTTCTTGTTTCAAAATAAAAGCTCTCTACCGTCTTTCTGTGGCCTAATCCCGTCATTTGCTAACAAAAGGCTTTTATTCTGAAACATTTGCAGGGCAGTGTTGTGTAAAATGCGGATTGTTATAATTATTTACAAATGAGCAAACACTTTGTAATCCTTCTTCCATCTTTACTTGTGCAAATCTGGAACTGATGTAAACAAATGACAAAGGTGTTGCACAGCATTGAGTACCTCATTCATTTGCTGCTTGGCATCCTCAGTTGAATGGCTACTCCACCGTGATCCAGACTCCGATGTGGCTGGGTCATATAGCAGACAAACTCCAGAAGAATCTCTACCAGACCGTTGGAGAGTTTGTGAGCGACGTCCAGCTCATTTTCTCCAACTGTGCTTCATACAACCGGGTAAGAGACAAGTGTCAGTAAAAACCCTTTAGATGACATGCAGGGTCAGGAGTTTCCATCATTTCACATGTGGTGCTAATCAACAGTTGAACTTAAAAAGTTAAGATGAATCTTTCTGGACATTTTATAGTGACAACTGTCTGTTATGTTCTCTTGCAGGACAATGCTGAATTCCTCGCCAGGGGCAACAGACTGAAGGAGTTATTTGACAGAGAATTTAAGAGCGTGCTCAACATCAGTGAATAGGCTTGTGACAGATCAGCAGTGTTCTGTTGTCAAACTCAGAAGCGGCTGGGAAAAGGTTAAGCATGTGTAAATATGCCTGTGGTACCTATCTTTTTAAACATAACCCTCCTATGTGGTTGAAATATCCCAAAATAAATGATTCCCAATCAAGAGAATGCAAGGGACTTTTACTTGAATTATGACAACACGTTTCAATCTATAATTCTACTACAATGCATTAAAAATAGTTTCTTCCCACTATTTATTTTCATTACTCATAAAATAACCGAATGTTTAACATTTCAACACTTTCCATACGATCATGCAGCCCAGAGTGCTTTACAGAGCAAGATTAAAACAGCACAGATAACAAGTATTTCCCCTGTGTGTTGTTCTCAACATTTTTTTATTGCCACGTTTTTTAAATGTATTTTTTATTATGGTGTTACACCACGTGTGAGGAGGGTTCCAAACTGAATGTATTGTAAAAGTCAGTATTTGACTTTTAAAGTGCAATTAATTTGCACTTTCTCTTTCTGTCTCGATCTCTGATCTGTGGCTTGTGGATTTCTGTTTTCAAAATAAAATAGTATCTTGTGTACATCTTCAATGCCATGTCTTGTTTCCATAAACCTGCCTCTTAAAGGTGAAATGTATTTTTCAGAACATAACTACAACTGTGAAGATGAAACCTAAAACAATAAATGAGTGTCTCATACTGAAGTCTATTTCACTTATCAGATCATTTCATTTTGCAGGTTTTTGCAAAGATATCACAAGCAGTATTTCACAAGAGGGATGCGACAACACAGAGAAAAATCTCTTGTCCCCTATCATCTGGGGGCCCTCAGAATGTAGTAGGGGCCCTACTGATAAAGAATGCACAGGATGAAAGTGAGTGAGATTAAAGCATACAAATTGGATGTGTGTGGAAACTTAGTGTGACTCCCTCCTGTTCTGATGAGCACCATATTCATTTGTTTGTTTGTAAATAAAAAAAGACCAAAACACATGAATAAAAGAGGATCAGGGAGGATTCAGTTAATATTGTCTCTGCAGTGGAGGACGCCCCCTGCTGCCACTGACCGGAACTGCGACTTGCCAACAAAATGAAAAAATACTTTTACTTTCTAAACGTCACCGACCGATGGGCGGAACAGGCCAGTCGGCCGAGGGCCGGATACCATTTGACGAAAGGAGGAACCGAGAAATCTAGGAGAGAGGCTCCGAATCGGACATGGAAGGACTTCCGCCCATTTTGTAAATCTGCTACTTGTTTGTGATTTGTGGCACAGAACGGGGAAGTTGTTGGTGCTCATTTTTAGTTTCGCTGTGTTCAAATCCTGTGGAGCAGGACATTTTACGCAAAGGGACTCGCTGCGTGGTGAAACAGCGCAGGGAGCCTGTCCTAAGCACTTTATTTAGTGCCACCGTTTGGGGGAAACATCTACAAAACATCTGGAGCGGCTGTGGTCTCTCTGGGCCTGGTGTTTTTTTTTTGTTTTTTTTTGCAGAGGAGTGGGGTAGCTGCGCTGACCACCGATGGAACCGATGGACTGGCTGAAGAACGAGGAACTCCTGCGGTTTTTCCACTGTAAAAAAACCGAAATGTCCTGCATGGAGAACCCGCACACGTTTCTCAGCCAGCTCCGGGATCACGACCTGATCCAAGAGGACCGATACAAGGTGAGGCGCTGAAGTGGAAACGTCATTACGCATTAGTTGTGATCTTCACCGAGCACTCTCAACGGGTCCTGTTTGGATGAAACGCGCGCCAGCGTGAGGCGGGAAGAAACTGCAAACACAGCGACATACGGGGATTTAATAACACTGCAGGAGGGAGACTGGGAGTGAAAAGTTACACTGGAGGCTTTTTATTTATTTGGACCGACCCCCAGCGACACACCACCGCCCACACAACTCACGCCACACTTTACAAACAGGACTATTGAACAATATTTATAAATATTGTTAAGCTGTTGTTTTACACATAAATCAGACTCTCTACTCTGTAACCCTCCCATCACCCACACTTCCTGTTAGAAGTTCCTGTCATTTCAGATTTTCTGTTTGCTTTACTGTCCGTGTTTGTGTGAGAAAGTGGCTCAAAGTAACATTATATATCGTTGTTACAGTCTGTAAATCATTTCAGGTCTTTCTCTTGCCCCACACTGTTCCAAAAATACATGACATTTTCTTATAATTACTACAGTGACAAAATATATCCATTAGAAACATTTCTAACATTGGTTTGTTACACCCCCCCCTTCAGTATGAGCAGTGCTAACCAATGTAAGGAGTGATTCATAAAAAAAGCTATTTAAGTGTATACGTTAGGCCAGGGGTCTTCAATGTTTTTCAGGCCAAGGACCCCCAAACTGATAGAGAGATGGAGCAGGGACCCCCGACTATATGTATTGTATAAAATTGTTTTTTATTAAACTGGGCCTAGTACCATATATACCTCTTTATTGTGCATTTAAGCTATTTAAATAATACACAGGTTCATATATTCATGTTTTTATTTTAAACATGTGCACGGTACAGTGAGTAGGGAGGCCGTGCCACTGCCATTTAGAAACATACCTTGTCAACTGATACCAATGCCAATATCAACATTGTCTGTCAATTGCGTGATAATCCTTCATACAAGCTATTCAAATTGACGTTTTCAATTTAAACATAAATGTGGAAACCAAAATGAGTGATGGCCTGTTAGTGCCACTGCCATACATAAACATCCCTGTTATATTTCATACAATACTGAACTATTAAAATAATGGACAGATTCATGTTTCGAGGAAAAAAAGAAAAAGTTTTTTTTTTTTTTTAATTGTCTAATCAACCAAAAATTTCGCGGACCCCCTGCAGTACCTCCGCGGACCACCTGTTGAAAACCTCTGCGTTAGGCGACTGTCGAACTATTAAACCCTTATTTTCTCCATGCTTTTGTGTGTTTGCAGAAGGTGAGTCGTATGAAGAGTAAAGACAACATAAGGAAAGGTCTCTATGATATTCTGGACTGGTTGGAGAGAGAACGATCACAGAGCGTCAGAGAGTTCTGGAGCTGCGTCTTCGAGGAGACCATCCTGAACCAGTATCCCGCCCTGCGACTGCTGCGCAACAGCCTCATGGACGGTCAGTCTTTTTATGGTCACAGGGGCGTTAATCATTGGGATTCTGCTCACTACGTTTATGTTCCTTTTGCTTGTGAGTAATGTTTTTATTTGTACATGGTCCCTGATACAGAAAAATAAGGGTGCTCCGATTGATCGACCACCGATCGCCATCGGACGATATTTGCTCTAAATGGCAAATTGGTGTTCTCTTTAAGAACCGATCGAAAGAGCCAATCAGATGACAATTTCTCTATGTGCCGCTAAAATGGCTTCACCAGAGTTGTGTCTCTAAGGCCACTTTTAAACTGCCTGTTCAAGTTGCCGTCATTCCACCTCGCTGCTCTGTATTAAAAGGGGCTTCTGAGTGACTCTAGATTGGAATATGTTTGCGCTCCTGCACACAAAAATAGTTGGTTAAGAATTGGATGATGGTTATAATAGTTAGCTAACAGTAGATAAATGGTTGAAATATTTGGATTCGCTCCACTCAAAGTAGGCCTAGTACAGGGGTGTCAAACTCATTTTCACTCCGGGCCACATCAGCATCATGGTTTCCCTCAAAGGGCCGGTTGTAACTGTAAGACTGTATAACTGTAACTACTCCTAACATATTGTTAAATAACTGTCTCTGCTTTTGATTGTTGTTTATTCAAGTGTAAAAATATTGTACATGCAGTTATATAAATGTAAAATGATATTTAAGCACATTTCTGTTATTATAACATAAATCATTTTAATTTAGGTTTAAGAAACCCACATTACTCTATCAAAGATCAAACTTTTAAAGAAAATAACAAATACAAATATCATCAAACACAATTTATTACATTAACTTTGTTCAAAGCTATTTTTGTCACCTCTCTGCATCACTAATGTCCCCCCCTGCCGTCGTCCCGTGCATGGCAGCTACATCCAAGAGCTCCTCACTGACAGTCAGGTCTGCCTTGAGCCTCTTACAAACATTGACAGATGATGTATCTCGTCTCTTAGCTAGCTGTGTTGTTAGATTGCTGCTAGTTCATGAACTCGGTCTGCGATGGTGTTTCTTCACAAACTGACATTTGTAAAAGTCTGTATCTGGTCGGAGCACACCTGCTCACATACCTTTAGCATGCACTGGGCTGTAGCTTTTGTAAATATATTCTGCTGTGATTGCAGTCTGCCTTTTAATTCTTGGACAATTTTATGTTTTTCTTGGAGGCTAAATTTAGCTCAGTGTTTGGTGTCAAAATGCCGACGTGAATTGTATCTTTCATCACCGACACGCATCATAACACAGAAGACAGACCCGTTTTTGTCCTTGAAGCACAGACATTTATTCGCTTTCCCATCTTAAATTACATCTTCTTCCCTCTGAATCAATTTTTCTCTTCGTGGACATTTTGGGATTATTTGTCGATCTTTTTCAACTCAATCACTTGTTGGAAAACCGCTTTACGGGCTGTCCACCTGTTTTAAAAAAAAAGGTAATAACTAATTAACCATATTGTTACCAAGTGACTGTTAGGAGGACAAGTAATCAATGTCCAGCCACGGTGATAATACTTCACAACATGCTATCTCATAATTTCAACTTTCTATCTCATAATTTCGACCATGGGGATATTTTTATTTTCAAGTCTAACTTTCAATTTTTTTTTTTTTTGTTTTGCTGGGGATTCGCGGGCCACATAAAATGACGTGGCAGGCCGGATTCGGCCCACGGGCCTTGAGTTTGACATGTGTGGCCTAGTATGAAGGCAAACCTGAGAGGATTGACCTAAACATTGACAACATTGGCTGAGGGGGCACAATGACGAAAAGGTTAAAGGTTGATAAGCACTGGATTAGATAATAAGGCTGTGTTCAAAATTGCATACTAACGTAATACCTAATAACTACTCAATCAGTATACTGCACACTGCACTACTAAATGAATGATTAAGTATCCATTACCAGCAGACTGGTCACACTGAAGTAAACTCAAGCAGTACGTTTTCTCTGCAGCACATGACTGTATCTTGATCTCTCATCTAGTGCTGGGCGGTATGACCAAAAATGTGTATCACGGTATTCTGTAAGATTCTGGCGGTTTCACGGTATATCACGGTAATTTTTTTCCCCGCGTTAACGCATTAATTAATTAACGCCGAAAATTAACACAAAAACCGGCCGGCCAGCGAGCGGTGGACAGCTGTTTGTGTGGCGTGTCTTCCGTCACTTCCTGTTTCCTTCACTTCCTGTTTCCTTCACCTACATTCCCCTGGGTCCTAAGTCCCTCCGTGTACAGCTTCTTATCACCCTCTATGTACCAACGTACATTTATAACAAATACCACACATATTACACGGTAATCAGCGTTGCATATGTGTCTGACCAAAATACCCCAAAAAGCATCCGAGGACCGTAATCGCATACACTCTTCGTATTCCAACACATGTTTTCAGCTGAGGTGATGGAGTAAATTGCTAGTGTTGCCACCAGAGGCAATAACAGCGGCTCGACAAACTTCACAATATATCGTCTTTTGATCTACGTCGGATTTTTTAAAACCAAAAAACCTCCAACCAGCAGACACAGCTCCTCTCTTGGGCACAAATTGTACTGGTGCATCTCCGGTCTCTCTCTGTTCCTCCTGCATCGCTCTTTTCTGTTCTTTAATGTAGCGACGGAGCTTCTTCTAGCTGTTAGCAGACTAGCTAGCTAGCAAGCGAGCTGTACCCAGCATGCCATTCGGCGGTGTAATTTTATAAATGTACAATTATTAGTGTTACAAATTGTTTATGTGTCACAAACTGTTGTGTCGTGGTGTTTTACTCTGTTAAAGAGCGTTCGTTGTGGGTTATTAATTGTTGTTATAAAGTTTTAACCATAACTAGGGTGCCCTCTCAATACACATAAGACAATTAGCTCCGACCGCAGCGCCCTTAGCGATGAACAATATATTTTGCTGCCTGTTGAAGAGTGACGGAAGTTGTTTCGGCTGTGCACCGGTATGACGGTGTGTGAAAAATTCATATCATACGAGAAATTAAAACCGGTATACCGCCCAGCACTACTCTCATCATTCTCCCACTGGAAGTTGTCCACGATGTGTACTTGATGTGTACTATATCCACGGGCATCAATTTCAGGGTCTTTCCATTTTGACAAACAACTACCAGAGAGGAAAAGGAAGGAGCTTTCAGAAGGTGAGGAGGGAGAGGAGAAGCAAGAGAACTCAGTGAAAAAGAAGAGAAAGCTGAGAAGTAGGAGCGTGTGCGTCGATGAGGAAGAGCCGGCCGGTCCATCAGCTCAGATGACTCCCAGGAAAATGTCCAAGAAAATATGCTTCTGTAAGTCTCCCCCCACTTATTTCTTACTTTTGTAAACATGACCGTGTGTTGAAAGTTTCACTGCTGAAAAAGTGCACCATTACTATGTAAATTATGATTCTCTTCATGTCTCGGTGAAAAGAAGTTTCTCACTGGAACAAAGAAGTCAAAGTATTTGTTTCCCTGTGTTGCAGCCTCTCCCCTGAAGAAGGGAGGGGAGAACAACATTTGGAGCTGGCCCATGTATAAGTTCCAGCTGCCCGTGACCTGTGGAGACAAGGAGGGAACACTGAACAGAGGCAGACTGGATAAAGGTATGAAAGACTCAATGACTGAAGTATCTGATTATGAAAAATAAATACTATAATCATTGTCTTGAGGATAAATGGTTGACATAAACACTTCCCCCATCCTCTGAACGTTTCAGGGGAGAAGTGCATTGTGGTCGGGAGACAGTGGTTCACTCCCAATGAATTTGAGAGGTTAGCGGGGAGGAAGAGTTTCAAGAACTGGAAGTTGAGCATTCGATGTATGGACACCACCCTGGGACAACTTATAAAGGTTTGTTGAAAAGTGAATTTGGAATAATACACGTCGACAAAGACTTGCATTTCTTAAACATGCGCCGTGTTACGTGCTTTTGTTGTGAAAATCGTTTTATTTTCTGTTTTCTTTTTTGCTTCACTGCAGGACGGTCACTTGACAGCAGCAAAGTACAAAGGAGGTAAAAAGGTAAGAACAGAAACTGGTGAAAATACATAAATAAATACATTCCGACTTTATAGTGAGTCTTGTTGCTGTTAGTGATCCTGATCTGAGCCATGTCCTTTTTCTTCTTCTTCTTCTTCCTGCTAGGCCAAGAAATCACTGTTCCCATCTGGTCACTCAACCACAGGTTTGTTGTATTTGTGCAAAACTGTGATTTTAGAAAACTATTACAAGATCCATCTCTCTAAAGTAATTAGCTTTAATCTAAGTCGGCATCTATGAAATTTAGAGTTTCAACATGATACATTTGAGAAAAAACAGGCAGAGTGAGCGTCTTCACTGCTGATGAAAAAGCAACAACCTCCTCCTTGTTTTAGTGTCTGACGAAGATGAAGGTGAAGAGGAGGTCAGTGACCTGGACGAGGAAGACGAGGTTTCGTCAAGCAGCAAAGAAAGTTCTGCAGCTGTCACAGGTGCTCGTCTGTACAAAGTGATGTTCAGGTTTTAAACACGTTTGCTTTTAATAGAAATGACCTTCGATGTGCATCCTATCCCAGTGTCACCATAGCAATGGTGATGGTAATCGTACTTCCCTTGTGTGTCCATAACAGACGAGGAAGAAGAGGAACGGACTGAGCAGCAGCCAAAAACCAGCCATGACAGTGGCAGGAAGGTGTTCAGAGTCACATGTGGAGCTGTAGCGGGGACTTTACATGAAAAACGATTTGTGTCAGGTCGCTATACCTCACTGCGCACAAAAAGCTAAACATGTGTAAGGAAATGTGTACTAACCAGCTTACACTTGCTTTGACCACCAGGGACTCGTGGGAAGAGTATTCGTACTGAGACGAACTGGATGACCCCGGTGGAGTTCCTAGAGGTGGCACCACGTCAGACGAATGCCTCTTGGAGGAAAGACATCAAGTATGAAGGGGAACCGCTCAGTGTCCTCATAGAGGTAGACGCCATACGTTAAACTGTGCATGTTTGTGTGATGCAATCAGACAGAGTGAAAGTTGTAATCCTTAAGATTTCAGTCCTGGTTGATATTTTGACAGCCGTGGGTCCCGTGGTAACAGTCAGTTCAGTTTAATACTATGGCAAACGCTCTTTGACTTTGAAACAAAACTCGCATAAGAAGCCCGCTCTAACAACAAAGCTTTTCGGAGCTACATCAAAAGCAGAAGAGCCACCAGGGTCAATATTGCAGACCTCCGCAATACAGACGTACAATTCATTTGCCATGACATGGGCAAGGCCGAAATCCTGAATCAGCAGTATGCAAATACATTCACATTCGAGGATGTGACCGCCATTCCTCAACCTGACCCGGAACTACTAGAAATTGGTTCTGAAGAAGCTGCGCTCACTTCGAAACTGACAAATCAGCAGGCCCAGACCAGATCCATCCCTGGGTCCTGAACAAGCTGGCAGATACCATAGCTCTCCCACTAAGCATTATATTTAGCACTAGCCTATCAAGCGGCAAGGTAACACAACAATGGAAATCAGCCACAGTGACACCAATCTACAAGAAGGGCAAATCCAATCCAGCCAACTATAGAGCCGTCTCGCTGACATCGGTGGTATGCAAGGTCCTGGAGCATATTATGTCAGAGGCAATAGTAGAACACCTGAAAAACAACAACCTCCAATGTGACCAGCAACATGGATTTACGTCGGAGAAATCAACAGTGACTAATCTCCTAGAGGCACTTGACATGTGGACGGAGGCACTAAGCCGCAGTTTACCAGTAGATGTCATATTCCTGACATCTACTGTCAAAGGCCTTCGACACAGTCCCGCACGAACGCCTCCTTGCACAGCTTTCCTCCTTCTGCATCCGAGATAATATTCTGCTATGCATCAGGAACTTTCTGACAAAGACAAGACAGCAAGTAACAGTTAACGGGGAGCTCTCAAACTGGACTGAAGTAACTAGCGGTGTCCCACAGGGTTCCGTCCTGGGCCCGCTAGTGTTCACCCTCTTTGTCAGTGACATTCCCAGTCTCCTCAGCAACGTCATATCCATGTTCGCCGATGATACAAAAAGCAGAAGAGCAACTGGTGAATCTGTTTAAGGTGCAGCCAAACAGACTTGTGTTGTATTGATAAAGATCATGAATCCAGTGCAGGGATGGCGGACTCCGCCACTAACAATTAAAAAACAACCACATAGAGAGATGATTACAGAATGTAATTGCATCAAATGTCTATTGTAGAAAAAAGGCAGAGCATAAATAATATCACAAACCTTTAACTTTAATGTGACTTTTGTCATTCAGTCAGTTGCACACACTTTCAAGATCAAGTTCCCATGTTCACCAAATGACTTTACTGTAAGCCAACGTCACCTCCAAAAGCTTTCCATGTGCAGAAAGAATGTCAGTCCTAGAAGTAAAGAGATGAAGTTAAAAGATAGAATAAAAATATCTCATAACAATAGACTGCAGAAGAAAATCTACCCCATCTTGGACTTAAATCAGAACAGGTCATAAAAAGTGAGGTCATTTAATTTACAGAGCGGAGAAATGCTAGCGTCTGATTAAGAAACATGGCATTAACGGTGCAGTTACATGTCAGACATGGCACCGTAGCCAGGGAGCTAAAGATTGAGCCACAGGATCTGTCAAGCCGAAAAGAGCTAAACTATGAAACAAAGAGGAAGACACTGTTGATTGGTCTATTTCAGGCAAACATCTTGGGGATCCACTCTCTGCTGTGTAATTGCAGACTGTGCAAACCAGAAGACGAAGACCTGGTAAGTTTGTTGATCAGTCAGTTTCAGACGAGCAGCATTTCCTCATTCTACACATGTTCTGCATTAAACAATGCGACGGCCATAGCTGATGTTTCGGTGACGTTAAATAGTCCTGCGTCTCTCGCAAGAAGCTACAGCTACAAGTCTCTTTTCATAAACAAGAAACCTCTTTCTCTCAGATGTATCTGATATGTAATTGTGTAACCGGAAGTTGCTGTCTTGGCAGGAGAATGAGAAAAACGATGACGAGTGCTGCATCTGTAAAGAGGAAGAAGAGTTGGTGATGTGTGATCACTGCCCTCGCTCCTTCCACCAGAAATGTCACCTGCCTCATGTAGAAGACGTCATTTTACGGTGAGCTTTGATCAAACTAGGAGACAACCGAAACATTAAAACAAATATCTGTCGCTGTTTTTTCTTTCATGTGAGAGGTGTTGTTTTTAGTGACGAGACCACAGAAGATTATTAACTGACTCTGCAATTCCGCTTATTTTAGGTCATTGTCATCAACCTCGTTATCAGCTGTTTTCAGTGAAAACTTCTGAACTAGCCGGTGAATATAGTGTAGCATTTTGTCGCTCTGCCCCCAAGTGACCAAACAAATCAGTTAGTCCAGGTTCTAATTTATTGTAGCTGTGTGATTTTTCTTTTTTTTCTTTGCCTTCCTCTTCTCATTTGAAATGAAAGTAGCAGCGGTTGAATCAGGAAGAAGCATCTTTCAGCGTAGTTTAAATTTACTATCTTATTAAATGACAAACTATACAAACCAAGTTAATAAATTCCCACTTAAATACGTATGTTACATGTTACGTCTTGTGTCAGTGGGATTAATTTGGTTACGGTGAAATAAAAATAAAGAGGGGTCAATATTCTGTTCAAGGTTGATAATTGTCAGATCTTACATATGATTATTTAATTTGTGTGTGTGTGTGTGTGAGCAGGGACAATGGCCTGTGGATGTGTACACTCTGCATATTCAGAACAAGTCGAGTGTATTTATACTCTGAGGAGCTGGAAAGAGAAGCAACCATGTTGTGCCAAATATCCAAACGCATACTGGTGAGTAAACTGTGTGACTCTGTCTTTATAGCATAATGAAAAACAATGAACAAAGGTAAAACATGTTTGTTCGTCTTTGTCCAGCTTTGTTGTCCCTGTTTTTATATATACCGGAGTCAGATTCTGTGTATGCGTAAACACTGACTCCCACTAAAGCTGAACCTGTCCATCTGTCACACCGCCGTCACTCATCCCTTTTTCCCTTACATCAACAGCAATGCCAGTATCTCCTTCTGTGTCTGTGCAGTGCTGATGAGGAACACACATTTGCTGCGAACCCATGCCTCTATGTAAGTCTTTCTCTCAGCCGTTCCCATGCACTGGTTAGCTGCCTTGCTATTCGTGACAAATGGTGTCAATTAATTAAATGTATAGCTGTCAAAGTGCCCTCAACTATTAACAGGTTAGAAGAGGGCACACTGCCGGCTTTAGCTCCGTCTCCTCTAGAGATTTGAGGTCTCGAATATTTTTCCGCTTGAGGTTCACAGTAAAAATGATCTTTTGACAGTATATATATTGTTATCATATCCACAACATTGCTACAGTTTTGATTTATATACCTGAAGGACATGTCACAGACATGCCACCCTTATTTTTAACTTCTTGTTTCAAAATAAAAGCTCTCTACCGTCTTTCTGTGGCCTAATCCCGTCATTTGCTAACAAAAGGCTTTTATTCTGAAACATTTGCAGGGCAGTGTTGTGTAAAATGCGGATTGTTATAATTATTTACAAATGAGCAAACACTTTGTAATCCTTCTTCCATCTTTACTTGTGCAAATCTGGAACTGATGTAAACAAATGACAAAGGTGTTGCACAGCATTGAGTACCTCATTCATTTGCTGCTTGGCATCCTCAGTTGAATGGCTACTCCACCGTGATCCAGACTCCGATGTGGCTGGGTCATATAGCAGACAAACTCCAGAAGAATCTCTACCAGACCGTTGGAGAGTTTGTGAGCGACGTCCAGCTCATTTTCTCCAACTGTGCTTCATACAACCGGGTAAGAGACAAGTGTCAGTAAAAACCCTTTAGATGACATGCAGGGTCAGGAGTTTCCATCATTTCACATGTGGTGCTAATCAACAGTTGAACTTAAAAAGTTAAGATGAATCTTTCTGGACATTTTATAGTGACAACTGTCTGTTATGTTCTCTTGCAGGACAATGCTGAATTCCTCGCCAGGGGCAACAGACTGAAGGAGTTATTTGACAGAGAATTTAAGAGCGTGCTCAACATCAGTGAATAGGCTTGTGACAGATCAGCAGTGTTCTGTTGTCAAACTCAGAAGCGGCTGGGAAAAGGTTAAGCATGTGTAAATATGCCTGTGGTACCTATCTTTTTAAACATAACCCTCCTATGTGGTTGAAATATCCCAAAATAAATGATTCCCAATCAAGAGAATGCAAGGGACTTTTACTTGAATTATGACAACACGTTTCAATCTATAATTCTACTACAATGCATTAAAAATAGTTTCTTCCCACTATTTATTTTCATTACTCATAAAATAACCGAATGTTTAACATTTCAACACTTTCCATACGATCATGCAGCCCAGAGTGCTTTACAGAGCAAGATTAAAACAGCACAGATAACAAGTATTTCCCCTGTGTGTTGTTCTCAACATTTTTTTATTGCCACGTTTTTTAAATGTATTTTTTATTATGGTGTTACACCACGTGTGAGGAGGGTTCCAAACTGAATGTATTGTAAAAGTCAGTATTTGACTTTTAAAGTGCAATTAATTTGCACTTTCTCTTTCTGTCTCGATCTCTGATCTGTGGCTTGTGGATTTCTGTTTTCAAAATAAAATAGTATCTTGTGTACATCTTCAATGCCATGTCTTGTTTCCATAAACCTGCCTCTTAAAGGTGAAATGTATTTTTCAGAACATAACTACAACTGTGAAGATGAAACCTAAAACAATAAATGAGTGTCTCATACTGAAGTCTATTTCACTTATCAGATCATTTCATTTTGCAGGTTTTTGCAAAGATATCACAAGCAGTATTTCACAAGAGGGATGCGACAACACAGAGAAAAATCTCTTGTCCCCTATCATCTGGGGGCCCTCAGAATGTAGTAGGGGCCCTACTGATAAAGAATGCACAGGATGAAAGTGAGTGAGATTAAAGCATACAAATTGGATGTGTGTGGAAACTTAGTGTGACTCCCTCCTGTTCTGATGAGCACCATATTCATTTGTTTGTTTGTAAATAAAAAAAGACCAAAACACATGAATAAAAGAGGATCAGGGAGGATTCAGTTAATATTGTCTCTGCAGTGGAGGACGCCCCCTGCTGCCACTGACCGGAACTGCGACTTGCCAACAAAATGAAAAAATACTTTTACTTTCTAAACGTCACCGACCGATGGGCGGAACAGGCCAGTCGGCCGAGGGCCGGATACCATTTGACGAAAGGAGGAACCGAGAAATCTAGGAGAGAGGCTCCGAATCGGACATGGAAGGACTTCCGCCCATTTTGTAAATCTGCTACTTGTTTGTGATTTGTGGCACAGAACGGGGAAGTTGTTGGTGCTCATTTTTAGTTTCGCTGTGTTCAAATCCTGTGGAGCAGGACATTTTACGCAAAGGGACTCGCTGCGTGGTGAAACAGCGCAGGGAGCCTGTCCTAAGCACTTTATTTAGTGCCACCGTTTGGGGGAAACATCTACAAAACATCTGGAGCGGCTGTGGTCTCTCTGGGCCTGGTGTTTTTTTTTTGTTTTTTTTTGCAGAGGAGTGGGGTAGCTGCGCTGACCACCGATGGAACCGATGGACTGGCTGAAGAACGAGGAACTCCTGCGGTTTTTCCACTGTAAAAAAACCGAAATGTCCTGCATGGAGAACCCGCACACGTTTCTCAGCCAGCTCCGGGATCACGACCTGATCCAAGAGGACCGATACAAGGTGAGGCGCTGAAGTGGAAACGTCATTACGCATTAGTTGTGATCTTCACCGAGCACTCTCAACGGGTCCTGTTTGGATGAAACG